ATAGAAGTTATATAGGGTCCAGGTCCTAAAAAGTTTTTCTAAGAAGTTTTGTTTTTTAACTTTTTGACTTTCGAGGCCTCGAACTTTGCTTTTCAAGCTTCAGAAGAGCTAAATTGAAGCTTCAGAAGAAAAAGTCGAGCTCCAAATAAAACAGAACGGCAAACATTGAGCCCTTCAGAAAGGTCAAAAAGTGATCTCTAGACAGAGAATATAAACCCGCCAAGACCTGCTAAGATTGAGTTTCAAAGCCTCAACAAGCCTCGCATCAACGTCAAATTTTCTTGCAATCACATTGCGGACGCCACATGACATCGAGCGCCTGGACCATGTGTTCGCTCGAACTGGAAGTCAAAGTTCTGCCTGGCAGCAGGGGAGAGGAAGGATTTAGATGAAATTCTATTTTTTGACATGAATTACTAGTTAGAAACCCATTGACTATTTACTTACCTTCTGCAGAAAACATGTGCTTGCCACCACAAACATTTGTTGAGAATTGCTTTGCTTGCAAACCTTCCGCCGTTTTGGCTGCGCAAGACTGAGCTGTATGCCTTCAGTAGCAGCGCCTCTTCTGTACCAGTTAGGGCGTCTGCGTTGTCTGCTTGGATCTGGAAGGAAAAAGATCTACGGCGGCAGCGCCTCTTCTGTACCAAGTCGGGCGTCCGCGCTGTCTGCGCAGGCTTGAAACAGCAAATGAGTACATATCAGAGGGTTTCACTTTGCCGCTTGACGGCATAGGTCCAGTGGATTGCCATGGATGCAACGAATTCGGCCTCACTCACTTTGCTAGGACCGGGCTGCATGGAGTCCAACCGATAGATTCCACCATCGCTGCCCCAGCGGTACGTCACCCAATGCTGGTTGTTCCAGTTCTGGATCAACGCCGTTGCTGGGAGAGCTTCTTCCCAGGTGTGGAGGGGCGCATGGAAGTCCAATGTGAAGCCCTTTTCAAACATAGCTGTGTAAAGCACTTGCACCGAGCACCACCCTCCAACTCGGATGTGCTCATCTCTGGCGTCGTCAACGCCCTGCATTTCTTGCAGGTACGTTTGCGCAGCTGTTTGCATGGCCGATGGGGTAAACAGCGCCTCGCCCAAGGAATTGTTGAGAGCGTGCATTCCGCAATGGGCTGCCTGTTGTCTTTGAAAGAAGAAGCATGGCGCAGCTGGCTCCGAGTCGTCCGATGGTGGATCTGCTGGCGGTGGCAAGGGTGGTGGGCTCGGAGGCGCTGGTGGATCAACACCTCGTCTGGGCGCCTTGGCCGGTGGCACTGGATCTGTACTTGCTCCTTCCGTTGTGGAATCTTTACCGTTCTTCGCTTTGGGCTTGGCTCTGGGCTTTGGCGCCTGCTTGCGTTTGGCTTTTGGCCCTGGTGGCTTCTTTGCCGGGCAAGCGGATTTGTGTTGCTTGTAGGCCGCATCATCATCCGCCACCCAGCCACAGCGAGGGCACACCAACTTCCCACCATCCTTCTTGGCTTCATTCTCTGCTGGTCTGGCTTTGGCACGTTGCTCTTCATCATATTGTTGCCAATCTGGGCGCGGTAAGCGGTGCAAAAGCTGCTGGTAGTAGCCATGGCTCTCTGCTGGTCGCACCACTTCTTCCCAAAGTTGCTGCAGGCTTGCTGTCCTGGGCCCACTGCTTCGCGCTTGCTCCTCCATCAGCACCACCAAGGCCCGCTGCGCATTAGCGTTGAAGTGCAGACTGGCTTTGTCGAAGCGCTCTAGGGTGCACAATGCCTGTGTGGGTGAGCGACTCAATGCCACGTACGCTTGGCCATCTTGCTTGACGTGCTTGTCCAATCGCACATGAACTCCTGCATGATACGTGGCTGCCTGGCTCTTGTGGATGGTGTTTGCCTTCGCCAAGACCAAAGGGAATTGCCTACGCTCCGCCTTGTTCCCATCCTTGTCATCAAAAGAGGCGCTGCTCCTACGGATGGCAACGCATTGAGTCTCATTGGCCGCCTGCCACTTGCTACCCGCCCCCTTGTCGAACTTGACCCACACCTTTTCGACCTCCCGGTTGCTGTAGGTATCAACGTGCTGAACTACCCCGCAGGCACCGTTGACCAAGCCATCTTGGACGTCGAGGTTCTTCCGCAGCATGACCTTAGCACCCTCAGCTAGCGTCAGCAATGACTCCATGCCACCGGTATCCTCTGCGAGCGGCCACGCCTTCTCAGGAGGTAAAGGGGCGCCGGAGCCGACGGAGATGTCCACCGCAGGGCATTCGTGGAGGTCGGCGTGAGTAATCTCCACATGGTCCTGTATGTAGTGGCGATTGCAGGTCGCCACGGCTGCACGGGTTGCGTAGAGGTGAACTGCGCCAGGTGCTGGCTGACGACTGCTGCGCTTGCCAATGACTAGGCTGTCCAGGACCCCAATATCAGCATCTGTCCAAATGCCCACCCGAACCCGCGCCAGTAGCGCTGCCCATGCTGGATCTCGCCCTGCCCGCTGATTGCCTTCCAGCTCGCAAAGCTCCAACGTCCCCCACAGATTGCTCGCAAAGATCGGCCGGCCTGGGCACGAAGACGGCTAGGGTGATATTATAGATATGAACATAAAAGCGCAGCAAATAAGTGTGAGACGCGTGCAAGCATGAATGCGCTTACCTGCCGCGATAGGGCTATCTAAACCCATATTTCAAGCTGCCGCAACAAAGGTTATAAACGCGTCTGGCCTCCAGGAGGCGGTAGCTGATAGAGGTCGCCGATGAAGATCACGTGCAACCCGCCAAAGGGGTGATGTGGCATTTCTCTGGCCAAGCGCAGGTGCTTGTCCATGCGGTCCAACAAAGCAGACGACACGAAGCTCATCTCGTCAACCATCAAAACATCAACATGCTTCCAAAAGCTCTGCAATGCAGCCAGTTGTTCGCCTCGTGGCAGCGGTACATCCCCCACTTTTCCATAGCTTTGGTTCTGAACAGGGAGCAGGAGGCTCGAATGCAAAGTGGTACCATTGATGTTGAAGGCTGCAACCCCAGTTGGCGCTGCCAGCACCACACCTCGCTCGCTCTGGCGCAACATGTGCGCGGCAGCCCTGGTCACCACTGACTTCCCGCAGCCGCCCGGCCCATGAACCAACAGGTTGAGGCGTTGCATCTTGCTTCTGTCCCTAGAATTGGGCCCTTCTAGCACCGAGCGGAGAATGTACTCCATGCAACGCCTCTGTTTCAATACTTCTGGACTCGGGCTCTCGATGGTCAGCATGTTGAAAGCTTCCTGAAGTAGCGCAAGGCGATGGGCGGGGTGAAAGGGTTGGATCTATGGAGGGCTGCTAAAATTTGATGACGTACGTATATTGATTTTCGTAGCTTCGCAAAAAGCTTGAAAAAGTCGACAGACACATGCATATATATATGTACATACATTCATTCATACATACATACATACGTGTCTCTCCCGCCTCGCCACCTTCCACTGGAGCAAAGATGTCAGTAGCAGGTCCAGTTGGCACGTTGCTCGGGGCCATGAAGTCGATGTCCTCGCCATGGCGCTCCTTCAGCGCCTGCATGATGCGCATGGAGTCTTGGTAGTTCTCCTCTTCCGCGCGGGTGTGCGTCCAGGTGGAGTTGTCCAATTTGGCCTTGAGGAACATCACCGCCTGTACTGCTTGCAGTTCTCTTGCTGCTTGCACCGTTCCATCCAACTTCGGAAAGCAAATTGACTGCAGGAAGGTGGGATGCTGGTCGCGGTCCATGGCAATGCGATGAAAAGCTGCAGTATGGCTGCCGCAATCTGCTTCTGTGAGCCAATCTCCCGGTTCGACCCATCGTAGGTAAAGGAGCATCTTCGAGTAGTAGAACTCTTCTGGTTGCAAATCCGGGCTGTAGTTGCGATGCCCAACGACGGCAGGCCGCTTCCTTGCCACGACCTTGTCAGGGTCGAAAGTCCGTCCTCCAAAGCGGAAGCCAGCAGCGAAGTCGAAGAAGGTGATCTCGCGCCAGGGTTTTGATATGGGCACGCGCCCCTCCACGGGCACCAGGACCTCCACATCTGGGAAATGTTGTTGTAGCTGTTGGTACCACCGATGTGCTGATGGGACGTGTTGGCCCACCTCTTGCTGTTTGCCTTTGTAGGCAATCGGGTCTTGGAGGGCTTCCTGTTCATCTGCCTGCGGCACTGACAATGTCCATGTGCTGGGAGGCCCCACTTGAAGCCACACGTTGTCTCTGGAGAAGAAGACCGGCGAATAGCCCAAGATGTAATGCACAGCTTCAAAGGTGGAGGTTGTTCGGCCCTGTGTTGCAGCATGCGCGGCCTTGTACACCTCGTTGTTGCTGAGGTCCACACGTCCAGCATCCTGTAGGTAGGTTTGCAAGATGTCGTCCACACGCTTCTTGGCAGCCAGGTCCTCTTCGGACTTAAAGCAGTAGCCCAGGATGTACTTGCTGGCGCAATTGAGCTCGCAGACCACTTGCAGGTCCATGCTGGCCCGCCACTGACGGAGGATGGCCTTGTTGTACTGGCCCACGAAGCCATCATCTTCATGCCTCCTGGCTGCAATGCTCGATTTCCAGCGGCTGGCGAATTGTTCTTGAGGGGTGCGCCAACGGGTTCGCTTCTCTGCCGCCCTCGGAAACCCAAAGCGGCAGGAGCCCAAGGTGTATTTGCCGCAGTAGGGGCCGCAAGAATGTTCCACCAAGTGCGCCAGCTTGGCCATGACTTCACGCATCTCCGGCTCCACGCGGTCATCCTTCATCCATCGGTTGGCAGATTTGGTGCTGATGTATTTGTCGCTGAGGTCCTCGGCGCTGGTGGGTATGATGCTGGCGCACACCTCGTCGTCGGACCAATCAACCTCCTTCTCCTCTTTCTCTGCTCGCCCCTCATCACCTGCTGTTGCGCTTTCAGGCCGCTTCTTTCCACTGACATCGGGCACATCTGCCCACAAGAGGATGTGAGCATGCGGGTAGCCCCTCTTCTGCCACTCAATCCGGACGATGTAATCCAAGACCTTGAAGGGTCGCTTGTCTGGCTTGACTTTGTGAAAGCACCCTGCTTGGCCCATGGCAGGGGCCACCTCGTACTCCTCATCGTCGCCTTTGCGGTGGCTGCCCCCACCATCTTCACCTGGCCGGTCCTGCTCATCAGCTGCTGCAGCTACGAAATCCTCAGCGCCAAGCCAATGTAGAAGCTGCCGCAGGCCATGCATGAACTGCCGGGCCACAATTGCCGGCATGGAGTTGCAGAGCTGGGTGGCCGTCATGCCGTGCCACTTGTAGTTCTCGTCTCTCTGGTACTCGTGGAGAGCCTTGAGAACCTCTTCTTGCTGCGCGCGCCCATGCATTCGGATGAGCTTGGCAGTGATCACGGCCGCCAAGATGTTGGGTTGTTTGGCGTGGCATGTCAAAGTCAAGAAGAACTGCGGCTTGCCCAGCTGCTCATACATGCCCAGGGCCATGCCCCGCTTGGAGAAGAGGTAGGGCTGCGTGCCAGGCAAATCGCGCAAGGCAGTGAAGATCTTGTTGTTGAAGTCGGCAAACCTGTCGCCGAGCTTGGGCGCGTGCAGATCTTTTATGCGGACGTTGACATTGCCGGACAGGCGTTTCTTCATGTGCTCCTCCAGCAACCACATGATGTAGGCGGCATCAGCCTCGAAGCGCCCATCTTGTCCAAGCAAGCGCTTCCGAGCATACACGTAGAACTCCTTGTGGGCACCCGGGTCATAACCTCCTCGGCCATCAGGAAATAGGTGCGGAAAAAGCACGGTGTCGACGTTGACAACGGTGTGCCGGGCTTTGCGCCGAAGCTCTTGCAAATCGCTTCGGTCGGCCTTGGGGATGGCAGGGTCGCGGGGTAGCAGGTAGATGATCTCCAGGTTGTCCTCTCCATCATCTGGCCCTTCATGATTTGGAAGCGGCCGGGCGGCGGTCACGTGCTCCAGGATGCGGTTCATGTTGCCGAGGGCCTTCTCCACAACAGCGCTTCCTTTGTATTCCGCATGTTGCGCGTGCAAAATTTGTAGGGCGGCCTTGAGATGTTGGAGTCGGGTCGTTGATGACATCATGCCTTGCACGCCCTTCACATAGACTTGGCCATCCTCCCCAAGCTCGGCGCCGTCCAGCACATCGCACAGGCAAGGCTCATCCATGGGCACCACATACATCCTCCCCCATTGCGCGCTGGGCCCGCCAGCAGGTAGCTTGTCAATCAACACCTGGTCCACTTTCGCCTTGGCGAGCAGCCGCTTCTCCAAAGGATTCAGGGCGGCTAAAGGTGCTGGAATGGGCGGCAACGTCGCAAGCGTGTACTTGGTCCTCTTTTCCCGGCAGTTTTTGCAAGCCATCTTCTGCATTGTCTTTGAAAAGCAGCAATGCTTCCCTGGAGTTAACATGCCGCATTCCTCACAAACCGTCGACAAGCCAAAGCGGCCCCACTTGCCCAGGAACTTTTCATAGGCCTTCTTCACATCTTGAAAGTCCTGGTCACCAAAGAAAGCAAGCCCAAGTCGGGCCTCCTCAGTATCCATAGGCCGGCCACCTTCCCCTGGGCAAGGCCCTCGTGAACCAGCCCCTTGCCCTTCTCGTTCGATTTGCCGCTGGCGCTTTGCAGCTTGCTGCTGCTCCTCTTTCTCTTCTTGCTCTGCCCTTCTGCAAGCCACGCTGCTGCACCACCCTCGTCCTCTGCCACGTCGCGCGCCACCGCAACGCCCACAGGCCGGCATGGCACCAACGGTGAAATCACAGGGTAGAAAATTGACAGGCCGCTGCCTGAAAGTCTCTTTATATACAAGGTTTGTATTGAGGAAGTTCTGACTCCTGACTGTAACCCTGCTCCTTTTACGTACCTTACTTGAAAGGGTTGGCTTCCGCTTTTCGAATTTGATGTGTTGAAACGGCTGTAGATCAAAGACATATCGAAAAGACTATCGTGCAAAAACGCGCTTCGAAATGCCCAAGAGCAGAATACAACAACTTGATTGGCACTTGCGTGACTCCAGCTGCAAAGCAACATTATAACCGCTCTGAAAAGGTGCGACGGGCAGCGCCCAGGCCTCAGGGTAGAGGAAGAAGCTTTTGACAGCAAAGCGCGGCAAGTGGCCTCAGCGGACAACGCAGCCGGCGC